ATGGTATCGCCATAAAGCCAAAATTGTTAGATGTGTGTATAAAAAGAAAGAAATCATAAAAGCACTCTGGCACCATTGACTCGGTCAGAAAGAGAGAAAATAATAGCTGCAGGTCTGCCGTTATTTTGAATGTTTTAGCTATTAGTCGTGCAATATGAAACCTAAACTTTAAAAGGAAAGACTCACTGTACCTGTAGCCTTTCACAAACCAATTACAGGCTTTAGAGTGTTTAGAGCTGTTGTTACAGTTACCTCATTTGACACAAAAACAATTGATATAGATGCAAATAAAACAAGACAAACACCTTACAGGCTTAAGAATTAGATCAGAAACTAAATAACTTTGATAAGTGCTAATTAATTTAATTTAAAGTAAGTTTTTTTTTTAATTGTGTCTGTGTAAGATATAGTTAAAGTTTTACATTTAGGGTTTTACATTGAGGAGTGTATATGAGGCCTTTACTAAAGTCTCTGGTGTTGATACTGTGTTGAAGTGTCACTAATTAATAATAATAATAATATATTGTAGTTTTCTTACCATAACCACAATGTAATGTCTCCAGTGACGGGGTAAGGGGCCGTCCAGCTCCAACAAAGCATGCTGGGTCCTCAGGAAGCAGCTGAGGTACGCAGGGTGCAACGCCATCACCATGGTTACGTGGTCCACACGACCCGATGAAAGGAAAGATTCAATAAGGATGTCCTGGTCCGGCCCTTCTTTCAACATCTGAAGAGAAAGAGTGAGACAAAATAAACGTTAAAAACTGACAAGCGGCTCGAGGACACATTCAAAAGCTTTCACTTCTTAATGTTTCTCTTACAAGCGGACATCAGCAGCCTTCAAGAGCTGACAAAACACTCCCAGTTTCTGGAAAGTGGAAAGTTTGGAGTGACTCACAAATCAGCATTTCCAGCCATCAGCTTTGGCAACACATGTCTGGTGTTGCTTCTCCTGACGACATGAAGCAACAGGCCCTTCAGTATTGCAGCAGGAGAGTTAGCTACACTGCTTATACTACCGCTGAATGAGGACATTTCTAGCGACCTTCACAGTTCACAGATTTGACTGTTAATCGTGATGCCAGCCTGCGAGAATCCAGACAAATCCTGTGATCTAGAGACCAACTGTGTACTGAAATCAATTTGTGAAACCACCTGTTAATTCCTTGTGATTTCACACTTTCACAGCATTTTACAAACATGTATTTAGAAGACAGTGTAATATCCTAAATAATGGAGCTCCTTTAATATTTGTGAATACATGTACTTTTAAAAACAAGCCTTACACACCTGTTTTGGGTTGATAAAGGTACTTGGACCTGCGGCCAGAGCCCGAGGGACTTCAACTCCTTGTTCCTAAGAAGGAAGACACAGAAAGTTATGTCAATTATACAGTGAAATAATTTAATTTCTGATTAATCTGGTAATTATGCTCATCCTACATAGTTTGATATATTAAATGTCAGAAAATAGTTAAAATGCTCATCACAAAGCTCTGGATATTGTCATCAGATTGCTTGATATAGAGTTTAGATAAAAGACAAAGAAAAGGCACAAATTCCCACAACTGAGAAGAGTTTGACATTTTTGCTTGAAAAAAATAGTGAAAAGTGAAAAATAAAGTCATTAATCATCAAAATAGTTGCATATTCTCTCTCTGTTAATCAACAAAAAAGGTTTACACTGAAATTAAATGTTCAAAAGACTTCATATCAAAGTTAAAAAAAAGGTTTTAAAAGTGTTGTATCAACTGTACGTTTTCCTATTGAACACTGTGGATGTATAACATAATAAAGATTATTATTAATAACCGAAGATAAACGGGACAATCTGCACAGAGCTTCAACCCCCTTGAACTTGGCTAGACCTACTTAGACAGCAGCAGCTGCACTGTAACTGGAGAGACTCGTTTCACACCTTAAATAAAACCCGTAACCAAATTAAACTCACCGACATCAGCGGAACACCGGCAGCAACGACAACCCACCGACAGATAAGCTAAAGACATTTAAAATGCGCCACTCGCAGTGAAACTTCTTTATTTCTAGAAGCTCCCGTCGGCTGTGCTCAACCGGGGGTGTGTCTACTTTGTTTTTCAGGGCACCGAGAGGGGGCGTGACCGGCTGCTTGTTTGTGCACACCGCAGCACAGTCTTGCATCACCTCCTGCAGTTCAATGTCTGATGAAACATCCAGCAACCTCATAGAAAATGGTGATCAGCTGATAACTGCGGCTGATCGGCTGCAAGATGTATTTTATTAGTCAACCACTCGCCTGGCTAATCTTTGAATTTCATAATGAGAGGTTTAAGCAGTGGTTTTAAATATAAGGCAACTTTCTGTGTGTCATTAAGTGAATGAGCTCCTGTTGGCCTGCAGACATAACGAAGTGGAAAGTAGAGAAACATCCCAGCAGTGACTTACCTGCGCGGTCCGCAGCAGCTCGGTTGCTCTCCCCCGCACCTCCTCAAGTGGACAAGACCGGGACAGCCGAAGCAGATGCAGGAGTGTTTGTTTACTCAGCCGTGCCGAACCGGGTCGGTCCAGTCCTAAACACACCATAACCACTTGACTCAGCTCCTCCAGAGCCGCTGCCCGCTCGTCCTCGTCCCTGCTGCACAGCCGCGCTAAGCTCTTCACAGTCGGGCCAACATCGGACTCTGACTCCGAAGAGTGGCGACATGAGCGGCCAGAACCGGACACTCGTCCCGGTGTGTTTTCCCCATTAGCCGAGCGGGTGAAGCCTGCCACGGGATTACTGGCCATGACTTGTATCGGTCCCGAAGCACCTCCGGAGCTAACCGCTGTTAGCTGTGTATTAACCCGACCGTTGACGTTAGCCTGACGCAGACGTTGGTTTTCTTAACTGACTGACGTTAAACACTTCAGGTGTCCTGTCGTCGTTCACTGCGCAACCATCCGCTCCACAAATCATTAACGCCGCCGGGACACCTTCAACACCTTCAACACCTTCGACACCTTCGACACCTTCAACCTCTCCTCATACCGGCGACCGGACCATAAACACAGCCTGCCGGTTAGCTCGCTGAGATAGCCTAGCTGCGGTTAGCAGACGCTGTAAAAGTCTTTTTCACAGCGGTTCTGACGATGGCTCGGTAATAACAAACACCGTGAGCCAGTGGTTCGGGTTCGGACCGGACTCCCAGACCGGAGCTGAGTCTAGTTTAACTTTTAAAACCAGCTTGTCATGAGGCAGCAGGTATAATTATAATCAATTAATTTACACACTTTGCTCGCCGGTTTCTTTCAGCTGTTCAGCGCGAGAGCTTTTCCTCCGGTGCGACGTCATCGTTACGTGACGAAACCTTTCACTAATTAACGTCACTCACCTGGTGCATCACTCCTCTCAAGTTACTCCTTTTTTATTAGTTTTTTACAAATAACTATATTTATGCACCGTTTAACTAACTTAAACATATATGAGTGTGCTGGTTTCATGCACTATCATTTGTTACTGAGCTTCTGGTTGTATTTTGCTTTTTTGTTAACTGTTATGGAATAAAATTAATAAAATATATACATTATTCTACCTGTATGTTTGCAATATTTTATATTGGCTATATTTATTTGCTATTAAAAACCCCAGTTTTAGTGACTGTAGCTTAGTATTTACCTTTATTGCATATTGATGTATCAATTATATTGTCTATGGTCAGAGCCTAAGGCAATGTTTGTAACTTGCTCTACACATTTTATATGAAACAATGAGAAGCAGCAAATTTAGTATTTTTAATTCTGTAAAAAGAAGATACTTGTTACTCTAAAAAATAACACATTTTAACAATGTTGGGCTAACAGATTCATTTTGTGTCAGTCAGATAAACTATTACTGTTTATCTTCCGCACTCTAATGCAGGTGCAAACCTTTCCTCGACAGGGAACCCTGCAAATCCACAACATAATATGGATCCAATTATTTTGTATTTCAAAGACTATGTACAATTATGATAAATAAAGGACTGCGGAAATCTGACAATTATATGAAACATTTTGCTGGGAGCACCTGCCCTTGTGGTCCTTGGAGCCCACATTTTGAAGCCAGAGACCATAGGAACATACTGTGTGCTTTTAATACTTATTTATATTCAGTTAGTAACCAAAAATGTGTAAATGTAAGAATTTATTTGTGTCTGCATGTGCATTTGTGTCTGTAATATTAATTTGGCATACAACTGTATCACAATTTATAATATGTACTTCCTGAATCACCTTTATTTAGCAAAATAAAAAAAACATCAATGGTGTAACCTTATCATCAGACATATATCTTATATTAATTTACCTGTATATATAATATATACCATACATAATATTAGATGCCTTTGTGTGGGGGTAAGAGAAGAAAGATGAAGCCTTCAGATATGAGAGGAGAGAGAGAGAAAGATGGCAGTGACAGATATAAATAGACAGACAAGTGAAGGTGATGGAGCTGCTCCGTTTGACATGACATGACAGACTCTACAGGGATTGGGGAAATTCAACATCGTGGCAGCAACAAAGAAAAACCCTTCAGTGTACCGTTTCCCTATGAGGGAAGACTTTTATTAACAAACACACAGGCTGGCTATGGAGGATGACCTTCGGAGCGCACGCACACACACGCAAAAGGCGTGGTCCCCATGGCAACCAGCGCTTCGTGTCCCAGGAGACCCAAGGGTGGAAGAGGTAAGACCGAGAGAGGAGGCAGCAGAGGTGGTTTGGGAGAGTCAGGATACAAGCAGAGGTCAGGGTTCACACACACACACACAGGTTCCTCTTCAGTATTTTACAGGAAGTAAACATTGTTTGTGTGTGTTTGTGTGTGTACGTGGGTGTGTGTGCAGATGAATAGGGAAGAGTGGGATGTGAGTCCTCAGACGATTTTGTTCTCCAGCAAAGCGATCCTCTTCGACATACTCTCTAGTAAGATTTTGTCAAGGATAGTAACAATAAAGACAAACAATAAGACAGAATATATGATAGCAACATTAAAACCACATTCTACCCATTGTAAAGGATATATTTTTTTGTTAGTGCCTGTAGGGCATCTTCTACTTTCTTTTGGAACTTTACGAGGGAGTCGCATTCACAAGGGTCCTCCTCTGTGGGAACAGAAAGCACAAGTTCAAGTGTTGAGTAGTTTTGTACCAGTATGTATAGTGAATAACCGGGAATAACTTTGTTATGTTTGTATTCAATCATCGTGTGTGACCTTGACAGATGTTAATCTGCAGCTTCTTGGCGATCTGGGTCATAGTTTTGAAGTCAGCAGTGTAGAAGTAGTGCTCTCCAGTCGGCTCAGAGGCGATCTCTTTCAGCTCATCCTCCACTGCATTGCCCACTCCAACAGCGTACATCTTAAAACCTGTGACATCAACACACACAGGTTTCCCTCATCTGACCGGTAAAAGTGGGCTTTGTATTGCATTAAGTAATCTATCCCCTCCCTCTCACCGTGCTCCTTGGCCTTCTTGGCAGCATCTCCAATGTAGTCCTGGCTGCGTCCATCGGTGAAGACGATGCCCACCTTAGTAACTCCAGGCCGGGCACCCTGACCGGGGGCGAAGCTGTTATCTGTGAGATAGCGGAGAGCCTGGCCTGTCATGGTTCCCCTCTCCATGTAGGCCATCTTCTTCACAGCATCCTTGAGGTCTTTCTTGTTGTTGTAGCGGCCCAGGGGGAACTCCTGCAGGAGGGAGATGGAAACATAACATTGACACAGAAGGGAAGGAGGCTGATTATTAGGAGAAACTGAATCCCTCAAACACAGATACGTACCTGTCTGACTGAGCTGGAGTACTGCACCAGTCCAACGTGAGCCTTGCTGTCAGAAACGTCCAGTTTGTCGACAATCTGGTTTATCCACTTCTTGACCAGCTCAAAGTTCTCAGGACGGACACTCTTAGAGCCATCGATCAGGAACACCACATCGGTCGCCGAGTTGCTGCAAGCTGATGATGTCAGACACACAACAAGGCATGTTACTCTGGGAGCACAGCGGCTGTGCTTGGACGAATACCTTCATACACACACACACTCACCACTGCAGCTGCGACCATCGTCCATGAGGGTAAAGCCATCTTTGCAGGCACACTTGTATGATCCGGGGCTGCTGATGCATACCTGCTCGCAGTCATGATCCCCGGTGGCACACAGGTCCGACACTGTGTGTGTGTGTGCGTGCAGAACACACACGTACACACAGTAGAATATATGTTGAGGCACATACACACACAGAGGGGGGCGGGTGGTTGGGGTTAGGAGGAGAGAACGAAACTATGTCAGTTTGAAAATGGGAAACTCTAGGATTTATTTTTTTAATGATCCACTGTGACCTGCAGTTGCACCTGAACAGTTTTTAATGTGAGTGGATGATGCATGAATCCAGTGGATCGTTAAAACAAACAGGTGGAAGCGATTGGAGAAGCCTCAAATAAACAAGATCCGTTTGTCTGTTTCTAAATGGCTCAGGCTCATCCAATAACAATCCCAACACTGCCATCATGCAGCGCTGCCCTTGGACGAAAATATCTGCAGCAAAATTGGCTTCTGCAAAGTGAGTGGCAGACAGCATTCAAAACTGCCGCAGACTAGGAGAGCCAAGGGGCATCGCTAATTAGAAGTTTAATGATTGTCACTAATGGATTGGTAATTACAGAGAGATCAGTTTTGCCTCTCGGTTATTTAAGAGTTGACTGAAGAACAGGAGCGAATTTCGTTCCAAAAGGTTGTTCCTGCCCTAATGCCCTCGGCCACTGGGAATATATAATGAGTCTGAATGAATATACTCTAGTCTTGTTGAGGGAGAGCAGAGGACAAAAGGAAGGGAACAATATATTGGAATGAAAAGATGACAGTCCTGACACCTTACCCTCAGTATAGGGGGGCCAGCAGACAGCACTCTCCACAGGCATGAAGGCATGGATAATGATGAAGACCCACCCTGACAGTAATTCTTTCCCATCGCAAATTTCCGCATCTGTCCCTCTAAACAATGAACCTCTCATCTTTCCCTTCTTCCCTCTACCTCCTCCCATCTTACCACAGAAGGCTTCCTGGAACTTCTTGGTGAGCTTCTCGATGACGCTGTAGCTCTCCACGTAGTCCACATGGTCATCCAGGGGATCACTGGCCATCTGCTTCAGGGTGCTCATGTCCACACGTCCCACACCGATGGCGAAAATCTCAATACCAGCATCCCGAGCACGCACAGCCACATCCTTCACGTTGTCCTGGGGGCGCCCATCGGTCACAATAATGGCAACCTGTGAAGAAAGACAAATAGATTTAGAAAATCATGGATCATGATTATGGAAGACGCTGAATGGCTGGTGTGAATGCATGTAAACGCGTGTCTCACCTTGCTGATGTCAGGAGATTTTACACGAGCGCCCTCGCCCTCACTGAAGGCCACATTCAGGGCAAACTGGATGGCCAGACCGGTCATTGTTCCAGTGGACAGGGGCTCGATCTTGGTCACAGCTTTAATCAGTCCTGCTTTGGTGCGGTGTGTCTTCAGAGACACCTGCAATTGTATAATAGGTAGGTCAATGATATTAAATTGTTTGACAAATAAACGTCAGTCCTTGTAAAGGCTAGCTGAGCCCCATACCTCGTTCTTGACACGGCTGGCGTAGTTGACAACTCCCACACGGGTGGCGTTGGGTCCAACATCCAGCCCCTCAATGACCTTAGCCAGGAAGACCTTGACCTGCTCAAACTCTGAAGGGCGAACGCTCCGACTGCTGTCGATGATGAACACAATGTCTGTGGGGCGGGTTTTGCACAAACCTGCCGCTACAAATGAAGGGACAGAAAGGAAATTATTTTGTATTCATATCATAGTTTGCATAACAACTGTACATCCACAAACTTATCCAGAAATGTAGATGGATAAAGACATTAAAGTTGATGAAGAAGGTAAAAAGGGGAAAGGGTGGGAGGAGCAACGGGAGAACGGAGGTATTGAGAGGAAAAGGGAGGGTGGAGGGATGGAGGCTGGTGAGAAAGTGGGAGGAAACAGAAAAACAGGATGCAGGGAGGCAACAAGGGGTGGAGAGAGGTGAGGGTGGAGGGAGAGATGGAGAAATGCTGAAATGCTTGGCCAGAAAAACAAGGATGAGGGACAGAGAAATATCAAATGGAAAGTCACTTTGAATATATATATTATAAATGATTTGTATAGTACAATATATAGCAATATAAATATATCATTAGAATGACAGGAAGACTGTAAGGTGTGCTTCAAAGCTCAGAAAAAGTGGAGTTAAGATTTTTATTTCAACATTTTTATTACATTGATAAACATTTTTGCTGAACAAGCTTCAACTGCTCAGCTGAAAACACCCGATGGAGCTACTTTATGTGCGTGAGAGACAAAACTGTTTCTATAATAGTGTGGTAATAATAATAAAGCTAGACAGTTGTATTTTCAGTGAGGTTTCAGGCATTTGTGGCCTTACATAATAAACTGTCGCTAAAACTTCTATAATCTGTTTAACGTCACTGATCTCCCTTCTCACCCTTCACCTCTCTCCCTCCTGCCAGTTTTTCCTCCCACCTACTTCTCCATCACTCTCATACACACTCACTCCTGAAACAGTCATTTAAACTGCACACATCCAAACACAATACAACACAACAAACACTGCTGTCTTTGATACTGGCTGACTAATCACTCCAAACCAATAATCTCTGATCAGTAACTGTTTAAAGCCACTGAAAAATATAGGAATCAATATAACTGTTTCTTTTCTTTTGTGTTAAACAAGCATCTAAACCAATTCCAATGTAAAACATGCTTAAGCTAAATAAATACTTGACTTTTTCTATGTCTCTCCTTCAAGTCTGTTACCTTTGGGAGTTTATAACACATGCAAGTAGTTCACATACATCACGTCACCATAGAGACATGTAAAATTGGGTCCTATACTAACAAGACAAAGGTTTAAAGTCAAGTATTTATTGAGCTTAATAAGTTATTGTCTATTCTGAGGTTTACGGTTCTAACGATAAGGAGTGAAAACCGGATGTTAGGAATCACACCATCAGAGATCCTCCACTGGAGTTAGGATCAGCTATAAGGGTTAAAGGTCATCATTCTTACCCATGGCGGCGGCCGTGCGGAGGTCCACAGAGGTGGTGGCTTGAGCCCCTATGAGGCCGAGCAGCAGCAGGAACAACGGCGGGGTAGTCGTCATGGTGACAGCGACAGAGGGGTGACGAGTAAACGCAGGGGTCTGAGCGCGTCCACAGACGGTCCTAAAGTGAGAAGCCAGAAAGGAGACAGAGCAAGGCGAAGGGAGTTCCAGGCGAGGGGGACAGCCACAAAGTGAGACTGAGTGACTCTGAGCTGCAGGTTATCAATGCAAGTACTTCACACAGTCAGCCCACGGACAGCCCCTCTCTGTAGCTGCTGTGTGTGTGTGTGTGTGTAAATGTGTGTGTGTGTCTGTGGGAAAGAGAGGGAAATACCTGCTCTGGGAGGACCTAAAATGGTGGGCAGGGAAAGACAAACACACCTTGATATGGCTAGGATTGACAGGTATGTATGTGTGTGTGGGAGTAGTAAAATTTGTGTTGTGTGTGCGCTCGAGTACCTGAGTGTGTACAGTATGTGTGTGTCTGGCTGGGGCTACAGGAGCGGCTGGGGTTTGGTGCAGAGTGCGCGCCAACGCAGCCGCCCCAGGTTGGATTTGGCCAAAGCTCAAATAAACACCAACATGAATTCCTCTTTTCTCCCCGTGTTCCCTCGTATAGCAAACACACATTTATGGTGCGGAAGTGAAGGAGAGCCACCGTACACAGCCTACAGTGTTCCCGCTGCTTTGCACGTTGGGATGTGTGTGTGCATTTTTGCATAAGCATGCATTTCTGTATAACCTGAAGTATACAAGCCAATTTGTGGATTCTTAAGTTCAGCTCAGTTCAGTTCAGTGGTTCTGAATTATATGCAACATTTTGTCTTTTTCTGTCACTTGTTTGGTTATTTTCTCTCCTCCATCTTTTCTCTCATCCTTCCAACAGATTTTTAAAGCCTCAGACTTTAATATATTTTAAGATCAAATTCACCACACAACACATGACACAAACATACAAATGTGAGATAAAGATTCTCTGATTGCAACCACATAAAAAAAATTAACAGATTTGTTCCGTTCATCACTCCTCTCCATCACTTTCCTCTCCACTGTCAGGTAGGCAGCGGGCCCCAGAGGAGTAAACACAGAAGGAAAACACTCTTTCATCAATACGCTCACATACACATCTTTAATCTCTATAGAGTCCACATACAGACCCACATAGAGACCCCTCTTTTCCCTCTGACTTCCCGCTCCACCCGACCCAACCCTGCATTCCTCTACACCTCCCCTTCCTCCTCCTCCACACACACACACACACACATACACCTCCATCCGCACACACGACTTGAACAAGCCGCAATTGAGGGGGTAGTCTTGGAGGGGAAGAAGGAGTTGGGGCTCAGGCTGTACAGTAACTAGCCAGACATATTTCCTACTAAACTGAACAAGCTGTAAAATCAACAGTGTATATGTGTGTGTGTGTGACAGCAATTGTCATTTTTCATCAGTTTAGACACATTGTGGCCCCTTTTAACAACCCATGCTCCCGACAGTTCCTCTATTACTGTAACATTATTCATGAACACAGAATGAAAAATGAGTTTCATGGGTCTGTGAAATAGTTCACTAATGCTGATGGGATGCAGGTAAGGCTCATCCAGCTAAACTGCTTATGTATTGTTGTTTTTCCTGGCCTGCCAGGCAGACAGGTATACATAAAACCTCTCTCTTCTGTGGTGTGTGTTGTGTGGCTGTGTGTGTGACGGTGTGAAATTAGTGTACTATTTTATGTCTTTGCATCCTGGTTGGTGCATGGTTCTCAACTAATAGTCCATTCCCAGAAGATGACACACATGTCCGGAATAACATTTGAATCTTTCATCTCAACCATTCACACCAAACACACACACCACAACACACACCACACACACAA